TTTTATTTCTTCTCTCTTTTTTTGCCGTATTCGTTCAATTTGCGGTTGTGTTGTTTTTGGCTTTTATCTTAATTGAGCGACGGACCACACGTGAGTCAAATTTCATGTTCGTATGACTGTTCCCTGGGTGTCTAAGAATTCATAGAAGTTTTTCCAGAAAACAGTATCTTATACTAATAATTTGCGATACTTTTTTTTGCAGAATTAAATATTGTTTATTCAATAGCGTGCTAAATTAAATGTGTCTATCTTTCTGTTCTTATAATTTATACTAAATCCCATACATTCCTAGACGGTTATAATCTTTAAAAACCGTAAGACCAATTTATACTTAAGCGAAAATAATCAAACTTGTATTCCTTGCCCTTGGGAACGATATTTAATATGATATTTCACTTCTTACAGAATTATAAGGGATATATAATTCTGTGAGGAGTGTACTTTCATATTATTTCCATTCGTTGTAATATTTATATATTGATTCTTGATATATTGTTATGTCTTCTTTCTGTTATGAAAAGTGTACTCTTTAATAGACACAAATGCCTTATAAAGCTTCCCAATATAGAGAATTTGACATCACTTTAAATCGTATTTTGAATTGCACATTTGGCAGGACATTAAAATGCCACCGAAATAGAATCAACACGACATTCTGTGCCATTTGAAAAGGGGTCGCCGGGGTGGGTGGGTAGTTTCACTCTAGCGAGTGTCCTCGAGTGTCCAACCAACTGGATCTTGATTAGAATTCTTAAATATTTATAAAAACAATAACAAGGACTGTGCCCATTGGGCCCACCAAAAGCAAACAGGTAGATTCGCATGCTCCTAGCATCCGGAATTCGTCGTCCAACCTCGCTGGAGATTAGCTTGACTGGTGGCTCGCCCAAAAGAGGCGCGCATGTGGGGGTATGAAATTTACATAGAACGCAAATAAATGAAAACAACAGTTAGCCGTGCACGAATCGGGTTATGAAATTAACATTTGGAGCTTTGCCGTGCTCCCGAGCAGCGTTCATTTTGAGCTGAGGCAACAACCAAGGCCTGCCCCATCGCTCTGCGACTGCTGAGCCAGCATTTGCCACTTGGCCGCAACTAAAAATGCGAAAAGTCGACAAAAAGTCTAAAAAGTTTTCGGTCCACCCATTCCGGGCTGCGGTGCGGAGTTCTTGCGAAACGAAATGAAATTTTCAGTTGAGTTTGCCAGCATCACACGCCCCTTTACGCTGACTGGGCTGAGCTTATGGATAGGGTATTCTGCTGAGTTGCCGTTGCCACTGCAGCGGAGCTGGCATCCAAAAAGAAACTGGGACGTTGGTATTGGCAGCAGCAGCAGGAGCAGCAGCAGTAGCAGCAACACCGAGGACAGAGTCGACACATTTAACGATTATTGCCGGCTATTAAAAATAACAAGCAAAAGTTTTGCGCATAAAGCCGCTTCGGGGATTCATTCAGCGAATCCAAAGGCGAGCAAAACTCTTTTGCCGAATCCTTTCTCAATTGCAATTGTTGATCCTTTCACAGCTGTGAGGGCTTCGGCTCGTATCGTTGTCGCAGCTCTTTGCAATGAAATCGCAAAAGTTTAAATTCAATTCAATCCAAGTGAGCATTTCTTCGATTTGCATTACCAAAATGGTTTTTATCTTTACATAAGTTAAAGTTCTTTTAGACTTCTGAGCCAGATAATTTTTTATCTAAAAAGTTCTCACTTTTAAAGGAACCATTTAATAAAGTAAACCGAGGAATTTGGAAAAGAAACTTTTCCTTCAAGCTAAAATAAACAATTCAAAGGCCATAAATAGTATACTGATTGAAGCTAACATAAATTCTTCAGTTTAGGACCGTTGCATTTATAGCAAACATGTATTTAAATATTACTTTTAATCTTCAATATAAAACATAAATATTTGTATGAATCCCCCGATTTTCAGATATGAATCAACAATTTAAATTATACGCAACATTTTTGTTAAGCATAAGAAGCTTATAGGTATGATTATATCATAGCAATGAGCTTTACGTCATTCAGTCGTAACATACTATCCCATTGTGAATGAAAGTAACGTGACAAAAGTACAATTTTTTTGAATACTTCAGCTGTTGACCTAAATTTTATTTTATAATTTCTTGGGTTTGAGCATTTCTTTTTTTTGGGTATTTAATGCTTTAAGAAAACACAAAATGTTTAAAGCTTTTCTCCAATATATTAAGACTCTCCTCGAGCATCGCCCACCCAATAATTTGATTAAAATATTTATATTTAGCAGTTAGACCAACCTTTCGATTTATCAGAAACCCCACCGAACGAAAACTTCTCCACGTGATATAACTCCTCCATTTACCAGAAACACCACCGTTTAACAGAAAATTTCTATAGTGAACGAAAACTCCACCACGTTACATAATTATCGACAATAACAGACAGCTCCTCCACTTAACAGAATACGAACACGTTGCGGCATTTTTCTGGTTTGTCGCTAACGGTCACACTAAGCACGTATTTAAAGTATACAAATTATTAAATAAAACAATTGGCAATAAATATAAGCAATGGATAATGTAAAAGAACTAATACAATTCATGCAGCCCAATCAGCGCCTGGATCTAAAAGCAGTTGCCTTAACACATGTACTAAGTAGGTGAATGTGGCAGCCAGCGCAACACGTGCTCTGCTTCCAGATAGATTTGTGTACATGTTTATATGAAATAAATATTTGATATATAAATAGGTCTGACTGGCAGCATAGAGGGTAAAGATGCAATTCTCTTGCTAGACGATATGTTAATGGCCATTTTCGGACTAACGTTTGATGCCAATCCGACAGTTGCAAAGGATGCAGTCCTCAGTCTGATAAATCTAACTGCGGAAGAAGCCGGCGCAATTAAAGTCTTCGAGTTTTCGAAAAAAGTGCAGCCCGTAAGTTTAAGCACGCTGATAGCCAAACCACGCACTGATCATTTTAATTGACAGAGCTTTGACATAGTGGGTGTGGCCGCCAAGCAGATTTGCGACGAGCAGGCGGAGCTTGCCGATGCCTGGAGCATGGTTCTCAGCAACTTAACGCGCGTCGAGTCGCTGGTGCATGTCATACTGGACACACTGGAACCGACGCTGCCCCAACTGGCCAAGGCCTTTGCCAAGCTGGATTATAATAAGAAAAAATCCAAGCTCCACTATTTGGCGCCCATATTTTGTAATCTTACTCAAGTGCCTCGCGGGCGGGAGCTGTGCTGCCAGCCAAAGTACCAGCTGCTGGAGAAGCTGCTGCCCTTTGCCTCATTTGAGGAGAGCGTAGTGCGCCGCGGTGGCACCATTGGCATCATCAAAAACATATGCTTTGATGCCGTGTACCATGATGCCATATTGAATGAGCAGGATGACATATTGGTTGCCATACTGCAGCCACTTTGCGGACCCGAAGAGTTTAGCGACGAAGACAACGAAAAGCTGCCCATTGAGCTGCAGGTGAGTAGCTCATCAAATGCCTGATTTTATGTGTAGTATGCAACACTTTCTCAGTACCTGCCCGAGAGCAAGACTCGTGAAACAGATCCGGACCTGCGCAAAATGCTGTTGGAGTGCCTGCTGCAAATGTGCGCCACGCGACGATGCCGCGAGGTACTGCGCGCCAAAGGAGTCTATGAAATACTGCGAGAGTACCACAAATGGGAGGCGAAAGTGGGACGAGACAGCGAGTGTCTGCTGGCCTGTGAGAACGTGGTGGATATTCTGATCAAGTAAGTTCGATAATAGGTAGATTACATTTTTCATATAAAAATTGGATTTCGTTCACAGAAAAGAGGATGAAATTGGCTTGGACAATTATAAAAGTGTGGAAGTGCCTGCAGAGCAGTCCGATAAGTTTATTCAGGAGGATGCCGCGTATGTCAAGAGTCTTTTAGATTAATGTAACGCCCAGTTTACCAGACTGTAAATATGAATAGACTTAGTTAAACACGTATAAAATATTGAAATTTTAATATATATATATATATATATATATATGCGGATTTATTTAGAAATTTTTGTAGTTCACATTTATTTGTATTTTCTATCTTAATTAGCGCTAGAAAAAATTGTACGCCTGCATTTAAATGCAAAAGAAACAATTTTATTTCAATTTGATTAGTTTTAGTAGCTGCGTTATCTAGTTGTCCGCTTGCTCTTAAATATAAATATAAACTTCTTAGGTGCTAAATACATTTGCATTCAAAAATGTTTAGCAATGTTTTGCCATGAAACTTTCAAGGTTATATTTTATACACTTTGTTTGGTCGTTCATTACTTTTAGTTATATTTGTTTATAATTGTATATGTGAACTGTGTTAAAGAATTTTATTTGATTCAATTGCTAGCCGATTAGGTGCTTGGTTTATTTAGTATTTTGCTTTTGATTAAATACTTTTGCTGCATTGGAAGCAAGCGAATTCAGCAAAATTTTGTTATCTTATCAAAAAGGGTGTGCAATCTTTTTTATTTTGCATTTTTTACATAGATATTTTTCTTTTGAATGTGGAAACCATTGCAAGCTCGCTTTGTGTAAAAATAAATAGTGTAATTGTGAACAATAATTAGCTATAAATTGTAATTATATTCGTTTGGTTATGATTAACAATTCTCATTTATAAAATGCTATTGATGTTCTCTTAAGCTTTGCAGATAGATTTAGCTTGGTCCTATTGGTTTTACATTTGAGTTCGTAAAATTTAGTTAGACTTAATAATTAAAAGTTTAGGCTTAATGTAATTTAGCAAGTCGTAAACTTAATTCTTATATAATTCGTTTTATTTGTTAACTAAGAACTGATGTGGTACTAAATTCCTTTATTAGGGGCCAGGTTTGAGTTAAATAATTTTAAATAGAGCTGCGAAACAGTGAAGGTTGATCATAAAGATCATACAATGCGACAAATGACGGCATATTGCGCTATCTATAAATAGATTGAGCCGTAGGTAACTTAGCCAGTTTAATTGAGTTAGAGATAAGGCGGTAGTAAATATTCTATAAAAGTTTCAGTTTATTGTACAAAATCTACCTATGTAAAAACATTTGTTAACAAACGCTTATCGCATGAGGCGCGACAGAACCTCGTACTCAAAGATCTTGACCTCCTCCGAGTCGTAGGGTATGTACAGGCAGCCATGTGAGGGATGTACCTTGCCCACTGTTAGGCTGCCGCCATGGTAGCCGCGTCCGGCATACAATTCCTCGCCATCCACATTGCGACCCACTGGAACGGCACCGATTGGCACTTCGCCATTTGCACCGGGTAACCACACATAGTTGTGACCACTTAGCACTTCATAGTTCTCCAGCTCCACCTCATGGCCGGCATAAGCCACGTAGGCCTTGCCCTTGTTCGGTATGATCTTTGCTGGCAACATGTCGTTGTTGTAGAAGGCACGCCCGATAAATATGGTATCGCCATCGGAGTCATGACCAGCAGCAACGGCGTCTTGCGGCAAGGAGCCGTGGCTGTAGTGTAACCAACTATGGACTGCAAAGTATCAATGGAAGCGTTAGTTCTTTACCGACTATTAATTTGAGCCCCGCTGCTTACCAGACATTCTGTTCGACTTTCAAATGGGAACTATGCGCTCGGCAGGCAATCAATATTGCTTATGGAACTTTTTCTAGAATTGGTAATACCATTGATAAAAGCTTATCATTCTAGTTGTTGTAGACACTGGTGCGATACCAGACCCCGTCGGTAATCAGCTGATGAATCAAGCTCTTTATCACAGTCGCAGATGTGGATTACCTGTGCAATACGATTTATGCTACGCTTAGCTACAGTAAGGAAATCAACATTAATCATACTTAAATTAATTATAAAAATGATTTCCGTTTAAATAATTAAAATTAAATATAGTTGTTCATATTCGTTTACAGCTTGTTTCGCAGTTTTCTATATTCAACTCTATCAACTCTATCTATGTGGCCGCTAATTTATAGTATTCAGACATACTCGTAGCTTTTAAATAATTGTCGCCTAAAATTCAGCAATTTCTAACAAATTAATAAATCTATTTACAACAGTCGATCAATACACAGGTGAGTTTGTAAGTAAAAATGTAAATATGTATGTACCTAATCGCTAAAAATAATTGCAATCGAATTTGAATTCTCGTTTTGTCTAGCTTTGATTTTGACTCGATAATTGCCTAGCAGCGCTTTGCGTTTTTATTTTTTAATAGTAAATAGTTTTAATTTAGTTGTTTAAATTTTGTTCATTTTTCATCAATTATTGTTAAATATTCATTTATAAATCACATAATTGCTTGATGAATTCCATATAAATACGTTCGCTTTGTTTTTGTTCTTTTGCCGTGTTATCCTGTTTTATCCTTGTGTGCAATTACTATTACGTGCAATTGTAGACACTGAAAGAGTGAGAGAGAGAGAGGGACACACAATAGCTGGTGAAAGAGATATAGATAGAACAGCGGATGAATTGTGTACAAATATTTCGCGCAGCTGGATTATCTTAAATGCTTCTTCACATCCAGTTTAGCTAAATCCCCTCATTATTCATGGGATGCAAGCTACATTTGTTTTTGTTGTTCCTCCAGTTGCTGTTGTTACTGCTACCTTGCAGCCACCACGAGCAGCAGGGCGATGCTAAGTAGCACGGATTCGACGTCCTTTGGGTGGCTGTCATTGCAGGCATCCGCATCACTGCAGCTCTGAAGACAGCCGTGTACGTATCTAAAAGAAACAGAAGATGGGTGGCGAAGATAATGTTAAGTTATGGCTCCGACAATGGGAATATATACGTGTCAGAATGTTCAACACAAAGGTAACATATGAATTTTGTTGCACGCTATTTAATATACGTCAGGGAACACGAAATACTTCTAAATGACACTGAGAGCCGGCTTAATCATGAGATTTATCATGTTTGTGCACATAAGGAGGACAAAGCATTAAACAAATTATCATCATTTAACATTTTTGCTCTATGTTGGATATTATACATAGTAACATTTGCAGCGTATCTTAAATAGCTAACATTATATTCGTATGTTAAAGTGTGGTGAATATACAGCATGATAAACAGAGCACTAGCAATGAATAATGTTAGCTATCTGTCAGTAACAGCGATATTTTAACAGAATCTTAATGTAATATTAACCAGTACATGTTTAAAATCGCTTGATGGAAATCACGGAAAAGATTGCCTTAATACGTATCAGGTAATTCTATCAGTTCATAAAATATTATTACAAATTCAAAGTACGCAGTTTATTACCCTAATAAGGGAGCTGTGTAAATCAGGTGATAAAATTCATGCACGCCATAAAATAAAAGATATGCTTGGTTGGGTCACGCACCTGTTGTCATAGTAGAATTTACCACAATGCGACATTCTTATGAGCTCCGTGTCTGTTGTGAGTGTGCCACTGTCCAGGGCGCAGCCTCGCACTGTTATCGTCTCGCCGGTGTCATCTGCAATTGTGATTGCAATTTAATCATATTATCCATCAATTCTCTGCCCCATCACTCACCATAATAGCCGGCGATTTTAATGCAAGCCGTTGCGGGGAAGAGGCCATCGCGACCCTTGCGACCGCCCATACAGGGCGACTCGAGTATGGCGGTGGAATAATTATTATGAAATGGATCATCGCACGCTTTATTGGCGCCGTTATACGAAACGCACTTGAAGCAGTCTATGCAGTAGCCTGTCAGAGGGAATAATATGGTATTCGTTAAGACAGGACTTCAGAAGGACATCAGCAAAGTCGTCTGGCTTACCACTGCGGATAAGCAGGCCGAGCAGCAGCACCAGGCAGCTGATGAGTTCCATTGATGTGGCCGTCGCCATGCTTGAAACACTCGACTCTCGGACTCACACGATGCTGAAAGGGGGTAGCGTTATGTGGCCCAATGCCAATGCGGGCGTTGCAACATTTCAGCCTGAAAGCAAAGAAAAAAAATATTATGACTGATTGATTATGCGTCTTCTGTTGATGGCCAACAAATTGAAAATGTCAAAATCAAGACCTTGGCGTATGCGAGCCTTGAGTTTTTCCCATTTTCATAATTAGCTTTTGTGCACAACCCTGGCCTATTCATGAGTTGAGCCTTCAGATTTGGTTTGAAAACTCAATGCTTAAAAGCGCCAAGCTCGTAAAAATCAAAAGTTCCCCATTTTTAATTTCATGCGGGGGCCATAAAAATCCCGTCGGGACACGCGAAATGCAATTCCACAGAAGAAGAGGCGCAGCCAAAAGGAAAGGTAATAAATTTTACAACGCCAATTTTTGACACATTTTTTGTTCAGCTTTTTTTGCGAGGTCTCAACTTTGGCGGGATACGACGCGGCGTTATGGGCGTGATGCCGGCACAGCGTGTGGCATATTTTTTATTGCCGGAGTGTAAATAATTGCTTTCCAGTCGATTTTCATGTCGAATGTGCGCCATATTTTATTTTTTTTATAGTTGTTGTTAATGGCTGTTGTTGTTGTTGCTGTTATTGCTGGCAGTTTAACGGCCGAAGGCAGCTGGCTTGGGAGATTTTCTCCTCCTACGACATCGCAAATTATGACAAATGATTTTGACTTACGAGCAGAAGCCTGCCAAGAACTGTAGTTAAGCCATGAGCTCATAATTTATGTGACCTGTGAGTGTGGATCAGAAACGATTCAACATCTTGAAAATCAACCTCTATACTCAACATATTAATTAATTTTCATTGCATTGCTGCCAATGAAGAAACTGAACGCATGCATCGTCATTTGCCAGTCAATCAAATTTAATTGCCTTGATATATTACATGCAAATGCGATCCATGTCCGCGTGAAATCAGTTGAGGGATATGGCTTTGGCCTATGAAAACAAACGACGCAGCAGCAACTAAATCAAATATTTATAGAGTAAACACGCTGCCGGCCCATCGATGGCCATAGCTCAAACCATTCGGATGTGGCCATAAATACCACTGAAAGGCAGCGGTTGCCATGCATTTTATACTTCAGCAGAATTCAATTTTGCAGCCAACAAAAACATAAAACTGGTAGCTTTAATATTGTTCTTTGCATAAGCAAACTCATCTACAATCATAGCTACTCATGTTCATTTTAATCGCTTATTGCATGTTGCAGACCTGACAGGCTGAGTGACTGAAAACAAGAAAATCTGTGTGGCTTACCGGTCGTATGTTTGATGTTTTCACCGCAATTGTTTGCATTAATCATACGCCTCGTTATTCTAAGCAAATTGTGTGCATGTGTCTTTGCAGTTTACTGTTGGACTATGGTAAACAGGTAAATGCATCTTAAATAAAGACACGTAACATAATTAACAATATAGATAATTTCAATATGTCTGATCTGCCTGCTCACCTTAAGATTTTAAGCAAATAGCAAGCGAAAGCTTCTGTGAGGTTAATTATTCCCTTTGCCTAGTTATATTGTTCTGTTAATGTTTCCACCTGCACCAGCAGACAAAAGGAGCAAGCTTTAATTAAATTGAGAAAGCTGCTCGCCTTAGAACTTCTCCCTCTTAAATGCCTCAATTCTATTTGCAAATTAGCCACTAACCAGACTAACTGCCGGACGGACGTTCTGACTCGTCTTGGCTGACTGGCACAGCTTACCCACAGGAAATAGTATTCAGCGACAATGCGGAAACGGAAGCCAGCCAACGCTATACGAAGCCCCCTCCCACACACGCACACACAACAGCTCTCGCCTTTTGATTGTCTTCTGTTCTTTGACCAAATGAAGTTTACCTTTTGTGCATTGTGCTGTTGCTATTGGTCGACTTATTGTTGTAGTTCTTTCTGAGGCTCATAAATATATAAAACGTTGCCAATGTCTCTCGCATCCTGGCGACAGCCAGCTCGGTATTTGTCCTCGTTGTCATTGTCCTCTTTTAACGACTGTCAATGTGCTTGTTAGTTGCAGCCTAAGTGGAGTAGTCCCTTTTGTATAGGTGTGTGTGTGCCAGGACTTATTTAATTTTGTGGCTACCTTTATGACCAGGCAACGGACGAGCTGCCGTGTCAATGCTTATGATAAAGCAGAAAGTTGGCCAACGTGTAAGAGTGGAAAAGTGTTTGCTTCGTTTCCCTTCATTTCTCAATGCCAACTCAATTAGATGCATTCTTCACAGATTATATTTAACATCTGAAATACCAATAATGATAAGATTTTGTCTTTTTTGTTTGGAAGTGGCCATCTGGTTGATGTAGGAGGCAATTTGGCTTGCCCCGTGGCGCACATTAAAAGTGAAAAATGACAAAGCTACCCAAAAAGCATAAGTCAGATTAATAAAACCCCGTTCCCGCTTCCCCCAAGCAATCCCCTCATTAATTGCTTAATCTGCTTGCGATTGCGCTTGTTGGCGATTCAGGTCTATGCTGAGTCCGAGCTTATTTATAGCTTGAGGTTTCTAATTGAGGTTTCTCATTAGCTGCAGGTTGAGATTTGCTAAGCATCTGCAAGAAAAATGCGGCCTATTATAACTTGGTTTATGTGCTTGTTAGCCAGTAAAAGAGGGAATTTAATATGTAGGAACTGCAAGTTAGCAAATCCTTAAGTGCAGGCTTCTTGGAAACTCTCAAAAGACAAAGAACTTGCTTTGTTTGCAGCCACTGCTGAAACCGAATTATTTATTGTGATTTTGGCTTTGACAATGATAATCTGCGCGTAAGAAGGCTTTTGCTTGAATTCGTTCTGCTCGCCTGTAGTCGAAGTCCCGTGATTAAGCACATCGCAATCTCGATATTATCGGCACAGTCATCACTCGCTCTCCCCCCAGTCCCTAGCACAACAGCTGACAAGGGTCACAGTGGCAGAGGCGACAACAAAGTCAATACAATGGCAAACAAGCAAATTCTGGCCCAACGTTTAGACAAAGGTCGCCCTTCCCCATGACCCATGTGTCCTTTTCAACAGCCGCTTGTGTCACTGTGCCTTAATGGCCTGGAAGTAAATGCCACATTTTGCTGCTCAGTTTCAAATTTCAATCAAACTTGCAAAGTTTTTCGTGCTCTTTTTTAATAGTCCCCACACTGTTAGAATTTCAATTTCTGTCAAATTAGCTTTAAATAAATTTAACATAAACAAGCAAAAAGAGCAGCTGACACAGCTGGATGGAAAACTTCTTGTGGAAATGGCCAATTATTAAATTCACATTGTCACGAAAACTTTTAGCCAGAAGAAACTTTTACTTATTGCTGGTCTCTTAAATATGGTAACCACTTTTTGTTGACCCATATTAGCAACTGACTTTGTCTCATACATTTTTTTTTGAATAAGCTTAACATTTTCAAGTATTTTCCTAGTCCAGACGGACACCTTTAATTTGCTCTGCTGGTCACGCGTTGTCATTGAGAGAAAAATAAATTTCACGCATGGCACACACACACACAGGCACAGGCACACTCATGCACACATTTACACGTGGACGCAAACTCATAGAGGCTAAATGCATTTGCATAACTGCAACTTTAAGTGGAAATTTTGCTGTCGCTGGAAAATGGGGAAAACCGTGTATTGCATTTGGAATTTACAGCTGCAATTTGCAGTTAGTTGGCACCGTATGTGTGTGTGTGTGTGCGTGTGCGTGCGTGTGTGTGTGTGTGTAATTGTTCTGATACTCCCACGTAGAGAAGAGTATGCAAATAACGAGGCAACAGTATAAAATGTGTCACATAGTAGGTCAGAGTTATTCAGTCTATTATTCAGTTTTGCACTTCTATTATCAAATTAAAATTCGTCAAATGTTTGCTCAATTACTTTTAATTTGTTTGAATTATGACAAAGTAAGCAAAAAGCTGCAGTGCAAATTGAAATAACTTTCAGAGTCGACATTTGAATATTGTTAACTGTGAAAAAAATGTGTATGTAATTTAATTAAAGCTCTTCAATGGATTTATTTCCAAGAGAATTATTTTTAAAAGGTTTTTAGGGCAACGGAACCTTTAGTAAGCTACACACATTATTATCTCTAACTTGAAGCACACTCTAAAAATGTTGAAAGCTCACGCAAGCAACTCCTTTCCGCCCAAATGGCAGGAGATTTATGTCAGGGTCATCACATTGAAATCCCTTAGTTTTCGCTTGTGTGTTTGAATGTGTATGTGCAAGCATGTTTGTGAACCGGCTTATTGCCATGCTTACCATTAGTTAAGCACTTAAGCCAATTTTTTCAATCATTGTGGCTCTGAATTGGGTCTCCAAATGCCAATTTGAACACGCTTCATATGCGGTTCGTGGCCATTAAATCAGCATAATCCCAAATCGGGCACTTTCCTGCCGAGCGTGAACTATTTGTGTGGGTGTCAAAACGAATGCAGCCGGCAGGTAACCACCACAGGTAACCGCCGCACCACCAGCAATGCAACTGCAGCACAGACAGGCGGCATTTGTGTTTCCCTCGAGGCACGCACTCCATTCTCTCTGCTGTCTGCTCTTGGGCTGTGGCCGTAAATCAACAATGCGACATGTGGGCAGTTGGCAAATCCGCGTTTGCAACCTCAAAACATTCCAATTATGGCCTGGCCACGCTCACCCGTAGCCACTGCGATAGTCAAATTTTGCTGCATGCTGCACTAATTGGTATGGAAAATGTTGTCAGGCAAATCAGGGGGCTTATCCATGGTCAGGGAAATTATTGTAATATTTAATAAGCAGTGAATGTGGAGATAATTGGAAATTGGATTCAGTTAGACAATAGTATGCAGACAACTTGGAGTAAGTTGGTTGCCTTCCTTTTACTCAACTTCAATTTAAAGTATTAGAAAGTGCTAAATTCCGTTTTTTTCATATCCACTTGCGCAAACTGCGTCATTTTGCTCTTATTCTCCTCTGTTGGGGATTATATATGCATTGCACATTCGCACTTAAGGACGCTAAAGAATCCTTTGCTCATCTTGGTAAAGTTCCACTTAAATGGAAGGAGGTAGGCTA